TATGTTTCACTTATCTCTATCATAATTGATGATATAATAGATCAGGTCGGAATGGAGCAGATGTGAGAGGATATTTCGCCTGGTCCTTGCTTGACAATTTTGAGTGGGTATCTGGATATACGACAAGGTTTGGGATTCACCATGTTGATTATGCGAACCTCAAGAGAACTCCAAAATATCTGCAAATTGGTATAAGCAGTTCGTTTTGAACTATAAGGCTCACAAAGTCATAGTGCCTGAGAGGAATCAAGAAGTCAAATAAACAGAACTTTTCAAGCACTCTGATCTTTCTACGAAGTTGAAATTCTGTGTGGTGTAAAAAGTGATACCAAGCGAGGTACACCTGTTAGTTTGATGATCTTTTAGATAAATCAGAATTCAAGAAAATCTGTTATGTTCATTATAGAACTGCTTCCACATCTCATCTTATAAATGAAATACAAGAGAATGGACGTCTACATTGTTAAGTTGCTTCCAACATTTGTATTGTATTTTCAGTTTCTTTAGAAATGTGTATAGTGCTTATATTGATTTTCAAGGAGCTAGATGGATTGCTACCCTCTGTGCATACCAAAATCATACCAATATCCTTATTCAGGAACTGCCTAACTAAAATTGAACCATTTTATTTCCAAGTATTGCCCAAGTTCCTCCTATAACATATTTTGTTTTGAAGTGAAGAATCAGAACTCCTCATGGTTTTATTTATACTTCAATCTATAAGCCACTTGAGGCATTGAGCTGTTCAATCCATGTTGTCAGATCTCTACATTATATTGAGCAATGAGCATGCCTACTAGTTGAGATCTTTCAATTCAGAGGCAGCAATTGTAGGATGGGGTCACATAAAAATGGAACAATTTTTACCTATCACTTCCAAATGAAAGTTGACAAATTGTAAGTACTAATGCTAAATAATTTCAACAACAGTGACAAGTAATACGGACCTCATACTTCACATGAAGTTATATACCAAACTTTGTCAGTGACCCGCATCCGATGGCACCCTAAGAGCACGCCTAATCTTAATTTATCTCCACCAAGGAGATCCAGCCTCGTAGCAGTGCTCTCCTTCATCCCATGAAATCTGACAAGCTTGAAGACCTATACCATCGGTATGTTCCTTTCCATGCTGAGAGCAATCCACTCTTTCGACTGCTGTTGCCCTATCATCCCATTTGTATATTGTTTCTTGTGCTTGCCCAATGGATTAAGCCCAGGACTAAACATCTCTGCAATTGCAGCTGGCATGTACCTTGAGTCCCCCACTATTGGTGCACCGATGGCAGCCAATTGCACTCGCACCTGTATTGCATGACTAAATGTTGTCAACACAACAAATTTTGCCCATGCTGTGAAGGATAAAAGGAATACCAAATAGGACAGTTTGACAGAATGCTCTACCCCACCCTTTTCTAGCAACTTAAACTCCAATTCCTAAAAAAGGGAAATTCCAAATAGAATATAATGAACACCACAAAGTTTGATCAATAATTTTCCCTGAAATCAGGTTTACACAAGCAATACATGAAATTATAATCTTTCAATTGTCTGGGTGTTGCTGCCTAGTCAAATATTCTTAGCTTAGTACCCAACAGAAGATATACATTCAAGTAAATTTCCACTGCTTTTAACTCTGTAGAGCCCCAAAATCAAAAGGAGGAAGAAAACGTCAATTGCAAACAACTGCTTAAATTCCAGAACATTATACCTTATGAATTCAAAAACAAAGGATATAACATAAATTTAGAAAAACTAAAAGAATTGGCATAAAAGATATAACAGAAATGACCCCCACCAGTCCGGGAAAAAAAAGTAAAAGACTTAACAATAATAACAACACCTCAGAATACCTGATGAGTCCGACCTGTCAACAGGTTAATTTTACATTCATACGCAAAATCTTTAGAAGGCCATCCACAATCCACGATACCATATTTCTTTTCAATTAAGGCATTTGGCCAGGGAACCTTCCTGCATTCTAAGACGTCAAGTTGGCATAACTGCCATCCTTTAACAAATTCTGCATGCCATAAATTCATTAGGTTCACAGAAACAGATAGATAAGTGTTTTCTGACAACAGCACGTCACAGCAAGAAAGTTACTTAAATTTAAATTCTAAGGGTGCATCATGGATTCGACCATGCGCTCATGGTACATTAACACATTCAGTAGGGATACGAGAACAGACAATTCTCAAAATCCCTCTTTTTTTTCCTCCATCAGGTTCATTCAGTTAAAGAAGGGGAGAATAGAACAAAAAAATCGCCGGACACCCAAACTATATATAGACCCAAACTGAACAGACTTAAGAGAGAACTTTAAGATACAAAAGTTTATGTTTTTAAGTAGCTGGGTATCTCTTTCTTAATATCTCTCAAGTTACAAACAAATAGAGGGTAAGTCGAATGGCAACAATACAACATGAAGAAGATTAGTGGATATCCTTTTCATTTTCCAAAAAAGAACAAAACAAAAAAAAAAAAAAAGATAAACCACACAAGACAATATTGTCACTGTAAAATGAGAAATGGCCAAAACTGTTCAATTGAAATTTTTTCATTCTGTTAGATTGCAACGCCATCAGAAAAAAGTATACTAAAAATACGTATTCACAAAATAAAAACTATGTACCGGAAGAGGGAAAACCTACATAAAACCAATAAAGTCAACTTTCCCTAAAAGTCAACATTAGACTTAGTCACTCAAGGATCCCACCAAGCAAAAAAGGATGTCAAGCACTGAATGTCTTAACTCTGTAAATGGCCATTCCCTTGCCGGCTTAACACCTGTTAAATTTCTTCTAAGCACACCACCACAAGCAAGCAACAATCTTATTCACCGTAATTTCTGAACAATCAAGGAATGGTAATTTGGTAGGCTGTCCTGCTCACATATCATGCACCTTCTACCATCCCCCCTCAACCCTCAAATAAGTATACCACGATAGGTAAAATTTCCAATCAATTAGCTCTTTGTAGACAACACATATGGAAAAAACACGTAAGAAAATAAAAAGAATTAGAAAGAATTACACTCAGACCCCTTGAGGTTTGTCACTTAATCACTCAGACCTCCTGATATTTGAAAAATTACGCACAGACCCTCTAAGGTTTATACGCGCATAACACTTAGACCTCTATTGTAAATATATCCGTTAATAAATTATACTTAAATCTCCTCAAGTTTGTGAGTATATAATACTTAGACCCTTTAGGTTTTAAATTTTGTAAATAAGCCAAAAATACTCTAATCAAATATAAAATATTTTATATTTTATATTTTGCAATCAAAATTCATGTTTTATTGCATCATTTATAGAAATAAAATTAAAAATAAAAAATTCAATTTTTTCTTAAAAAATTGTAATTAATATACAATTATATTGTCTATTAGAATTTAATTTTAGTCGTTTAGACGACCAAATTAAAATATCAAACTACCCCAATTAAATCTCAAAGATATTGTATCCATTACAGTTTGATTCCTTGTTTAATTTTTTTGTTTTGTTCTAATAGACAGTATAAATATATACTAACTATGTTTTTTTTAAAGAAAAATAAATTTTTATTTTTGATTTTATTTCAATAAATGACATAATAGAACGTGAATTTTGAATGTAAAATTCAAGTTCTATTATGAATGACTTAGATCCATTGTTTGATTTTTTAGTTTTATTCTCATAGATAGTATAATTGTATACTAATTACGATTTGTTTTTAAAAAAATATTTTTATTTTTAATTTTATTTCAATAAATGGTACAATAAAACATGAATTTTGGATGTAAAATTTAAAATATTTGATATTTGATTTGAGTATTTTTTGTCTAAGTATAATATTTTAAACTTAAACGATCTAAGTATTATATACCCACAAACTTTATGGGAGTCTAAGTATATTTTATTAACGGATATATTTACAACAGGGATCTAAGTGTTACGTCCGTACAAACTTCAAGGGGTCTGTGTGTAATATTTCAAATGTCAAGGGGTCTGAAGTGTGACAATCTCAGGGGGTCTGGGTGTAAAGATTATAGATTAGAACAAATTAGCAGGGGCTGAGGTGTTAAATATGAAGAGAAAGAAATCATTATTTTTTATTTACTATAACTCTCAACTAAAATAGTAACCTACGAGGTTATCAATCGAAAACATTACGAAATATCAAGTATCTATCAACTTCAAGATATCAAAAAAAAAAATCCATAGAGGTCAAAGGTGTATTCCTAGGATTCATGCTTCATTTCATATGGGTGGTTACCTTCTGAAATAAGCCTTGGAGCAATATTAACTGGACGCATATAATGTGTAATTACTCCAGTTGGCACAGGAGCAGCAGCAAGAGCAAGATAAAGCTTCTTCACCTTTTTCTCCTGATGATCGAAAGATACGTAGCTTCAGATGGCATACAGGAGACAAGTAAAAGAGGACTGGATATGATAGAATGAAACAATTAGCAGTCCCATATACCCGAGTCTATATCAACTAAAGAACTTGTCACTTACCCTGATTTTTCCATGAAATACTGAACTGTACTCCTTAGTCCTAGCTAACACTACACTGCAAATAAATTAGAAACCATGATTAGGTTGCAAAATCCACAGTCCAACAATACAAGCACAGATATACTTCAGATACAATACCAGCCTTCAGTGCAATTATCAATTTGATGGGTCGTCATCAATGGTGTTGTTAATCCCAAGGCACGAGTTGCAAAAGTTGCACAACTTTCTTCAATGTTGTCTGTAGTTCCTCCTACCTAACCACGAATGCAGCAAGCAATCAATGGATTAGAAGTTTCAAAATGTACGTGTCAGTCACTGACATTGTAAGGTCATTCATCATGTATATTTTCAAAAAATAAATAAAACAGCCCCAAGCAGTTTCACCAATAACATTTTTCTCCGGAATCTACTTCTACTGCACAAAGGAATATTCAGCTGATAGCCATTGCTTATTGCTTGAGCCATAGCCTGCGTTTGCTCGGCAAGCTTCTTTTATATGCCCGCAATAAAGGGAAAAGATTTCTTGCTTGACTTTAAGAAATGAGTAGAAAGAAGCATATATGAAACAAAATAAAGGTGTATCAACACTATAGTTCTCCATAAGGGGAAGAAATTGAACACAAAACAAGCCTCTTACAGAAAAAGTGCTAGTTGCAATGTGCATCTTATTTATAACATAGAAAGTCAAATGAGCAACCAGGCATATATTGGCAAACAATGAAAGCTAATCAGATCATTTCAATTAAAACATATGATCAATAAAACTCCACCTGAACATGTAATGTGCAAGACCTAGTATTCACTAGTATAAGCTATTCTAATACTCTAAGGAAAAAATAAATAAATAAAATATAAAAAAATATAAAAATACTCTAAGGAAATAAACAGATTATCTACATACTGATGTAGCTGCAGGTTTGTCCAGAATGACATAGGATTCAGTTACAGCAATGATTCTTGATTTCCAATCAATTTCATAGCACCTGATCAAGCTACAAACGTCAAAAACAGCATAATGGTTAATCAAAAACAGTTAATATCACAGATTTCACAAGCTATTACCTTGGGAAGCGTTTTGGGTGTACATGCACCCTTAAGTACATTCCACGTTCAACAAACTCGTCGATCCGAGTTATCCGGAATGTTTTTTGTGCTTCTCGAAAAGTTTTCCCTTTAATTGAGCGTCTCATGTGGAGAACTGATGGAGCTGTTACTGCTTTATACACCCTAATTTGCTCTGGTGTTGCACTAGGAGGAGGCTCTGGACATACAAGGGCATAATGTACAGCTCCAAAGTGGATGAGGTCTGCAACAAACCTTCAAAGATAAAACAGTACATTCCTCATTTTACCTGGGTTGAATCAGATCAAATGGCATACAAAGTAGTAGCACTCACAAAGGAGGAAGATCCAACGCTTTACTAATATACTCAAGAACAGGCCCTCCTTCTGAAACAACAAGGTGTTCCACTCTTGGTGGGCTATTTTGTGGAGGACATGGAAGCAAACGGCCATATTCAGGATAGCTGAAACAATAGTAATTCCATGTGTCAGAAGATTGATATCCTAGGTTTTCATAAGTAAGTTGAATAAGACAACATATACATATACAGGAAACACAGAAGATAAACTGGACCAACAAGGGTATCGAGAGATACACATCCATGTCAGTCACAAAAATCTGAACAAACTCTTGATATCACTGATATAGTCAATGACCTCCAACAATAGACCAGTAAATCCTATATTGCTGCTTTCTAAGAACCAATCATATTCGGTACACATTGACTTCAGTTGCAAATTGTTTAACATTATCAAATTAAAACACAATTCAATCCTGCTAGTTATGGTTTTAGTCTATGGTACTGAACGATGGTGCAAAAATAAACAATTTGTATGTCGAATAAGGCTGACCAAAATCAAGAAGTTAGAATGAATGCATCCTTAATGGTAACACAAAATACAACTAAACATGATGGGCCTCCAGGCATTTCCTACAAACTTAGAAGCAATCTTCATCTTTGAGAAGCTACAGCTAAAATCTGTGTGAGACAACTTCAATGAAACACATTCAATATGGTTTTTTCTCCCAGGAAGACAAGTGTTGGTCTAAAAGAAAGATTTCAAATCTGCCAAAAGCATGAACTTTTTCCAATTGTGATCAAGTTTTGGTCTTTCAAAGTACAATACCAGCTAGATATGGGAAACAATCAATGTAAGCAGTGGTTGTCAATTACATCAGCTGCAACAAAATTTCTGGTACAGATTTCAAATGAAACAAAACCCATTAACATAATAACCAAAAGAATATAAATTGCACTTAACTAGTCTAAATTATAAACTTAAAAATATGAATGCCTATGCTTATCGTGTAAGTGGGTAGTAGTAAGAAAACATATAAAGGAATTATGGAGTACCCATTAGAGGATGAAGTGGTTGTAACACTTGGTGCGACTTCTGAAGCAGCAGAGGATTCACAACTATAGCTTCTGTAATTATTGCTGTTGTGAGAATTCCAAGAACACCAGGTCAAGTTTGTGCGGTGAATTTTGGCATGAGATGAGGCTAACGTGCGCACAAGGGTGGCAGGAGTGACTAAGCTCCGGCAATTGGAGGTCCATAACAATGACGATACTAAGCCGTTGGTGAAGATTGAAGTGATATTGGCTGCACCAATCGCCATTGGTTGGGTTTGTGAAGGGTTTATGATTGAGAGGCCAGAAGGAAGAACTTGAAACAGTTTTTTATGAAGAGGTTTGGATATTCTAATCCGGGTCGGGTCGTACGTCATATGTTGTTCTTTTCTTCTTTTTCTTTTTGATAATATCAAATTTCCGTATATTCTTCCGGTCACCAATAAAAGAAAATGTTTTGAAAATAGAAGAAAAAAAAATAAAAAATTTGAATATTTATTTCTAAATTATTCTAAAAATATTGGCCAAAATATATCTAAATATCTTGAAACATTTCAAAATATTTTAAAATATTAATAAAAATATGTTGAAATATTTTGAAACATTCTAAAAAATTTTAAAATATTAAAATTTTAGTTTAATCACTGATTCGTTTTAGTTTTAATATTTAATTTTTTAATAATTTCCAGTTTACCAAATGTATAGACTTTCATCCAAAGTAATATGACATATTTATAATTATCAGATAAATGAGTTTCAACATCATTTAGTATGAAAGATTTGATATAGAGTTTCGATAAGAATAGAATTACTCTTTATTAGTCAAAATAAAATAACTAATAATTCACATTTTTTAATCTTATAGTACAAGTTTTGAACTTCAAGTCAGCACGTGGTTATGAGATAGAGACCCAAAGTTTTACTAATGTGTTTTTGGTTAAATGGTACTCTTTGTCTTATAAAAGTTTTGTCTTCTTAAAGTCAAGGGATCAAATCTTCCTCCCCTCCCCCTTCCCCTTTAAAAAAAAAATTGAAATATTGGAGGTTAGTGACACAACCAAAACCATAAGGGGTCTTATTGAAATTTTTTCAAACCTCAGGGATGACAAGTGATTTCTATCCTTTTTTTATGGGAAAGAAATTTGATGGTACCAAATGTGATAACTGCAACTCTAAGGATAACTTTTAAATAGTAATAGAGATGAGTCGTAAAATCAAACAAGACCAGCATAATTTTGATCATTGAATCAAAAAAAAAAAGAAAAAGGATTGCCTAAGCGAATTTGGTCACCTTCATTTGGTGCACTAATAACTCTGAGAGAGCGTGGTCAGGCGTTCTCAATTACTTGTATCATAATGCTGAAGCGTGCAACAAGTTCAAAACCATTTACATGATCCCATAAGTCAAAAAAGGGAAAAAAGCAGGTACAGTTTTCTTTATTTTTTTGCCTGCTTTGATGACAAACACCAGAAAATATATGATGATCTCTTCCTTCTCAAGGGCTCTTTTTTTTTCTTATCTTTTATTTTCCTCATTTTTTTTCTTAAAGTTGTACTCAACCGAAATATTATTTTCTTGGTATTGGATCAAAAATAACAAAATAAGCGGGTGACGTTATGACTCAAACATGTGGTGTTACGACTAAAATGGTCTGTTCGGGATCGACTAAGAAAAGTTGAGATCAATTTTGAAGTTTAAAGGAACAATCGACACTTATTGAATTGTGATTGGATGCTAATGCAACTTTATGTGCTTTCAATATGACACCAAACTCAGTACTCTTTCCTCTATAAACACAACATAAAGGCAAGGAAGAAGGTGTATCAAACTCTAAGCAATCCTCCCACCCAGGCAAAGACTCAAAACTACCATTCTTCACAATCCAGAAGCCTCAGCTCACTTCAACAAGTAGAACTAGCATATAGAGACAGAACCAGAACCAGCAAGGTACCTGAGAAAATGAGTGCAACAGCTCCTATTGAGGTAGGTGCCCGAGGCACTGTAGGATCACTTCTCAGGAAGGAGATTGAGTATTTCAGGAGACTTGATTTAGACCCTTGTGGAAGCTCAATAAGGCCACAGAGACATAGTGTGGATATGGCCTCCACTGGAGGTAAATCATGGCCTAGTTTTGGTTTCTTAATGAGGGTTTGGAGGAAGAGGAAGAGAAGATGCAGTGGGTACTTGCCACGTGTCTGCTCTGCTGTGGAAGTGGCAGAAAGCTATTTGCTGAATGGAGTTTCGGGGTTCAGTTACTGGAACCTTAAAGCTGATATGGAGAGTTATGAGATTTAGGCAACTATATATGTTCTCACAGCCTCTCCACACTACGTATTTCATCTCATTCTTCCTTGGCCCCAATGGTAAAAACCTCGTGCATTGGATTGTCCTTTTCTTTGTTTGGGTAGACCTATGAGAACTTGCTTCATATGTCAGTAGGTGGTATGCGGGACTTAATTTTTTGAAATGTATCTTCCTTACTCGAATTCTTTTCTTTTGAGAACTCTTTGTAAATAAATGCTGTCAAACATTACCATCGTGAGTATTGAGTGATAGCTTTCCTTACAATATGACCTGTTTTGGCAGTCTTGCCTTTCCACCCATACAATCATAGGTGGCGTTTGAGCTTAAATAGCTGTTTGACACCAGTTTATTTCACGCATAGTACAAGACTCCCACCTAGAGCAGGGTTCGAAAGAAGTAAGCAGTAGACAATCTTACCACACTTTTGGAGGGGCTGATTACAACTGGAATTTGCACATCTTGGAAATTGTAATCCTGCAGCTCTTTGACAATTCTTGAAAATGGATCAATGCAGTAATGCTTGGTGGAATATTTTGTTTCTGGGTTCTAACTTGTATGAATGTAACAGTTTGTTAACCATATAGGAGATGCACATGAGGATTAGGAAAAAGAGGACTGAAGAAGAAAAACCGGCAGGAGACTTCAATGAAAAAATGTTCAAGCTGTTAAAAAGTATGCCCTCCCTCCTACTTCGTATTTCTAATGCATTCATCTTCCAATAGTGGTGGACATAAAAAGCAAGGTATAAAATAGATACTCTGATATGCTAATAACCTCAGCAACTAACTGAATAAATGCTTATGTATTAATTTTTCAAGAACACTACTCCAAATATGTATTTGAAAGAAATAATTTCAGGTCCACCACTTGAACAGATGACTGATCACAGTTGCATATCTGATATCACACACTCATACACTGATAAAAGCACACAAGCTATGCAACCATATAAAAGGGGTCTTTTGTTTATTGGGGGTGGTTGGAAGGCGCTATGGGGGCAGGTGGGAAGTGATTTAGGCCTTCATCTGGTGATCAAGCACATGCAGCTATCCTCTAGCCTCATACATGAAGGCTATGGTCCTTACGTTTGATGATGCTTCTTTTATCGGTGCCTCTTTTATGCATCTGGTGCATCGGTCCCTTCATCTATTGTCATTGCTAAATACTCAAGAGCAGTGACAACATCACTGATTAAAGGTCTGGTGCTAGCTTCTTCTTGGACACACATGGCTGCTACAGCCAGTGCTTGATATAGAGCCTTTACGGGGTACTTTTCTTCGAGCAATGGATCAGCCATCAATGTAAACTTTCTTCTGTCTTTTAACAGTGGTTGTGCCTGCAAGATAGTTTGGACATAAGTTGCAGTTCTGAATTCGTTGATCAATTAGATAAAATTATGCCTCTATTTCGTATAGAAGGAAGCGATTGAATTTATGCCAAGAACATATGTAGGTGCATTTATTACCAATTAGCTTATGGAGCACAACCAAATAATTTCATGATCTATCTAAAGGCAAAATGAAAAAAAGAAGAAGGATAGTGCAATAAGTGATCAAATAACTGATTTTCTCTATCCTTCTATTCTATTAGTGATGTAGTCAAAGAAATGAACCCATTAGTCCTGAGCAACTTATGCCTTTGCCTTCAAGCTAGTACTGTTCTAGCACATAAGAGGAAAACAAGCCTAGGTTTCAATTTCTGATGCCATTTATGTTTTTAGTTACTACACCTGTTAACAGATAAATATGAGTTTATTTCAAATATTAAACTCCTTACCCAAGCAATCAAGTTCTGCTCCTCAGTTGGTCTTGTATTATCAATAGCTCTCCTTCCTGAGATTATCTCCAGAAACACAACTCCAAAACTGTAAACATCAGACTTAGTTGTCAGCTGGCCTGTCTTGGCATACTCTGGTGCGCAGTAGCCATAGGTCCCCATCACCCTCGTAGACACATGCTCCTTGTCTCCTGTTGGACCTAACTTAGCAAGTCCAAAATCTGAGAGCTTAGGGTTGAACTCCTCGTCTAATAGGATGTTAGATGCTTTGAAGTCGCGGTAGATGATTGGAGGGCTAGCGGTTTCATGCAAGTATTCAAGTCCTACGGCTGCTACTTTGGCTATCTTCATCCGAGTAGACCAATCAAGGGGCTTCTTATTTGGAGAAATATCTAAAAATCAGACATTGTGATCAGAACATGTTTAGCTAGATTTTAACAAATTTCTAGGACAATGAATTAAACATGCATCTGGTGTCAGCTAAGACGCGTAAATGGTCTATGAATTGCTAATTAGCAGTTTAGCTGAGCACAGGCTTAAATTCCATAGAATCGTTCAAAAAAAGTAAAAAATGAAACAAAGATCAAACTGTAAGCCTAACCAAATGCAACAACATAGACAATTATAATAAGGCCTCTCCTTGCCTTTTACATAATTGGGATGGTAAAGCTGATTCTCCTCCTCATGTTTGATCTCTCTTAAACACAACAAATTAAGTTAAATCGAAGAAAAAACATCTTGGGCATACCGAGAAGGTGATCTTCCAAAGATCCATTGGACATGTATTCGTATACTAAAATTCTTTGTCGGCCATCAGCACAATACCCAATCAGATTCACGAGGTTTGGGTGGTGAACGAGACCTAATGTCAGGACCTCTGCGAGGAATTCTCTATTTCCTTGCAATCCATTCCTGTCAAGTTGCTTCACAGCCACAATCTGAAAGGCATAAAAGACAATATAGACAATAAGAAACACGTTTGGCATAAGAAAAACAAAGTGTGTGTGTGTGTGAGAGAGAGAGCGAGAGAGAACGACAGACTTGTTTATTCTTTCCAATGTGTCCTTTGTACACCCTCCCAAATCCTCCTTCGCCTATTAGCAATTCAGGATTGAAGTTTCCAGTTGCAGCAGCCAGCTCCCGGAAAGTGAAAACCTCTGCAGCAACTTTTACATTTCCATATCTAAGTATCTCTTCGGCTAGCATCCTCTGCTTGTTGGTGCCTGCAATTTGATAACAAGACACATAAAATAATCATGGCACAAAATTGGTGAAGGCCAGCCACCAACTTGTGAGAAACTAACAGTGTTAGAACCCTTAAAATCTCTGTCCATCTATAATGATTAATGAGCCTCTTACAATGAGCTTGGGGTTCGAATCTGTTTGAAGAATAAGTGGATGGTTGATTTCCTCAGAAACTGTATGTAATAATTTTCAGGTTCTTGCATTGACGGAAACATCAAAATAAGGGACCTTACAGAGCTGTTCAACATAACCACTCTGTTGCAGCACAATGTTTGGCATTTCCTCAACAGAATTATGAGATAAAATGCGATTTCTATGTTTATTCATGCCCAAAAGCATCATATAAAAACTAAAGAGATAAGGGCACAGATGAGTTTGAGCACACTTGAAGCAAACAAGAAAATCAAAGCAGCATTCTCATCAACCCCCTAAAAACGTATTCCAGATTGTATTTCTTAAATTAATGGACTCATAAACTCGATGAAACATCATATGATTAGGAATTTGATCACTTCCAAAAAATCAGAACCAACATTAGAAAAGAAAAGAAACGAAAAAATTAAGTAACAAACCTGTTTTCATTGACATACTCCTGACAATTTTTGCCAATGCCTCTGAATCATCATATTGCCTGGAGGTCTTTATCTGATTCACAGAACTCTTTGAAGTTCTCAAAGAAGTCTTCTTCATTGCATTTGAATGACTCATATTGCAACAAGAAAAAAGGCTCATCTCCTTCCCTTAATCTCACTATGTTAGCAGCAGCCCAATCCCCCCTTCGTGTTCAACAACCGCTACAAAAATTCAAATAATTCCATTGGAAATGAAGGCCTAAATAGCATAATAGATCAATGTTGTTGGAGTTTTGTCCCAGGAAAAACAAATGTACACATGTATAAATGTATCCCAATTGGCCAATAACTGGAACTAGGAGATAATTATCTAAATTGGGTTCAGAAATATGAAGTTTAAATGATACTAGGAGAAAGAACAGATTCTCCGGCATTTCATTAGAAAAAAAAACCGTGTTGATTTGGCTGGAATGACATTGAGCCTTACAAATTTACCTCATTTCATCTAAACACACACACACACATGGGGATAGGGAGAGAAAGAGAGAGAAGGGGGGAGAGGCTGAAAATTGCTTTAGTTTTCATTAACTAACTTTTAAATCCTAACTAACTTCTGCCAGATATACCAACCTATTTAACTATATTTATCCAATGCTGAATGGATTGTACAGCGCTCTTAAATGTTTGGATTAAAGTGAAATCTAATCCATTAATTCAAAATGTTAAAGTCCATACGCCAGCTGATGAACTAAACAGAGGAAGTTGCCTATCACACATAACCCTTAATCCGAATCCCAGAGCCCACACACTTTTCAGTGTCGAAGCTGAAGACCGAGAGAGAGAGAGAGAGAGAGAGAGAGAGAGAGAGGGATAGGTTGGGTTTCTATTGCTAGAGCAACACGGGGCTTCTGCCAGAGAAGAATTGCTGCTTCAAATAGTTGTACAGTGCAGAATAACACTGGCACGTGTTCTGGCTGGCCGAAAAAAGTGAGCCGTGTGAGTTTGAAGGGATTGAACCCGACGTGAATCGAACACGCAACCTTCTGATCTGGAGTCAGACGCGCTACCATTGCGCCACGGATCCTAATGTGGTATTGTCATAAGCAATTAATTTAAATTGTAAACGTAAGATTATACCAAAACCAACTATCTAAGTCTTGTACATGGTATTAACAATACTATACTGATCGAGATTTTTTATTTTGTATTCATCATCAAATAAGTGAGTCCTATTCCTATTCAATGATGGAAATTGTGTCCATCACTTTGGATGAAAAACTTGGTAAGTAAAACATTGCCGACAAAATATTTTGTTAATTGAGCTTTTTGTGGCTTGCTAGAGAAAAAAATAGTTATTTAAAGAGTTACAACATCAATTTAGCGTTTACCGTGACAATTGGGTAATGACAATAGGTACACATCAAGTTGGAAGTATCTGACAAATCGATTCATGGATATATTCAGATACGAAATAATCAATTTACGTTGTGGAATCTATTCAACACGAGCCATGTAACTCATTTAATAATAAAAATACATTAAGTGAATTCTAGGGGTTAAATACATGTATAGCTTGCATATTCTTGCCATAAATATACAAAAATGGATATTATTTCAAAATAGGACAAATGTATGCAAATGGTTACAAGGAGTTACATTCATGTCAAGGTTCATTTTTTCATATGTTTTATATACATGTCATGCAGGCTGACGACAAATACCCCAAAATGATACTTTAATAAAATGCAACTTGACCAATGTCCAAACTTAGGAGCCGCCACACTTTTCCCATTAGCTAACGCAACTAAGCCATACTTATCAACTTAATTGATCACATAATTAAATGAAGACTATAGCATATATAATTTTAATTACGTTTTTATACTTTTTTAATAAAAACATAAAAATATATATATTTTTTTTATCTTACTAAACACAAAAAAATCAATTCTTCGTAATTTTCATCACTCTTACAATTACCAAACACAAAGAAACGAAGTAAGGATGAAAGATATTTCACTCTCATTTTTTATTTTTTTATTTTTCATCTATCCTATCAAACGGACTATAAATATTTTCAATTTCTTTACGTTAGCAAGGTATCGCATTAGTCAATTTCAGAGTTTAGGCTATTGCAGTCTAAGTTTAAATGAAGTCCCTCCGTAGTCATTGTCCGAGGTTTCCCGTCTTTCCGATAGAGAAAACAAGACTTGGCATGGTAGCACTTATATGTAGCCAGACAAAAGGCATAATAAAGATGCTGATCCGAATATTCTTATTGGATTGGGCTTATTTATTCTTCTATTCCACTATTTTTTTTTCCTTATTTTTATCAAAAAAATTAATCCTAATTCAAATGCATCAAGGGACTACGCCTACACAATAAGAATAAACCCATTCAAACAATCATTTGCCTTTTCTTACCATGTATAAAGATCAACCTAATTCATACTATAAACCAACTTTATTATGATAAATCAATCTAATTGAATTTTACCATGTGACATACCCACCATCACCTAACTATAATTCATCATTTAATTTTTTTAAAAAAAATTATTTTCTATAGTTTGTGTCATAACCACCGCGCCATTAAAAAAATTATTATTTTTAACTTCCCAATTATTTTATAATTATTTATTCAACTTCTTTCCTCCTTAAATAATAGGTAATGAGGTATAACTTCGGTGCACCGCACATGGGTCGTCCTTAGTACCTTATAAATTACTCTATCGAGGTTTTAATATTTGCAATTGATTTTTCAAATTAGGAAAAAAAACAAAAAATCCACAAAAATAGCAATTGTATTTTATTTTATTTTATTTTTTGAGCAACATTGCAATTGTATTTGACAGGCACCAACACCAAACCTTCTTCGACATGTAAAAAAAAAGGGGCCCACACAGAGAGATGTGTTTCATGTGTAGAAGTAGAAGTAAAAGCTTTGCTGTGAAAAACCGACCAAAGCCAAACTCCAAATCGAATTCCTCCACCTGTCTTAGACCGTCTGGTAGGCAACGCCCGTACCGATCTCTCGCTCTCTCTTGAAAGTTTGAGTTGTGCGGAGGGAGTTGAAGCTCTGAGAGGAAGAGAAATGACCAGAATGCCACTGAGCTTTCTGTCGATTTACATCGGAGGACTGACTTCGAATTGGTGGGACGAGATTAACGAGTCTGTTCAATGGCAAGATGGGATCTTCTTTACTCTATGTGCCGCCTTTGGCCTTGTCTCCTCTGTTGCTTTGGTACTACTACTACTACTACTCTCTCTCTCTCTCTCTCTCAGAGACACACACACACACACACGCACTGTGTTTATATGTTTTTGTTTGTGGTGTGCATTTTGTTCTGCTCGGTTGCTGAGAAAGAGCTGGAATTGAGTTTGTGAATCTAATTTCTATCAATTGTTTGGGAGCTGGGGAAACCAAGAGCTATACTTAATTTTGCTTAATCAGACTACATGTGTCAATCAAATAGATTTTTTTTTTCTGTACTGGTTAATCGAAGTGATGATTAGTATGAATTACTATATGTAGCATAGAATTGAGATATTGAAATTGGATTTGAGTAATAAAAAGCTCAAATCTGAGCTAATTATTCCTCTATTCAAATTCCAAGAACTGAATCGTGTGCTTGAATTGCAGCTTAGTTCTTATTTAGGAGATCCATGGAACTTGGAAACAAGATTGAAGATTCAATACTATTTTCCTATAGCAAACTTTTAGAGGAAGGAAATGGATATTAGTGTTGGACTTGGTGTTCTATGAGGTGGCATGGAAATCACTTCTTTATTGCCTATAGAGCTTCTGAGAGCTTCAAGTTCATGAATTAGAATTAAAATAGGAGTAAAAGTGTAAAACTTGTTTATAATGTGAACTAATGTGGATGTCAATCCCAACTTCAAGGTATGCCTTAGATGCGGCATTATAGGCCATTGCATCATTAAAGGATAGAAAAGAAGTAAGTGGTTTTCTCTGTGTTGGAATGTAGGTTTGGGTTATAAGTATATTTTTCATTGTGATCGAACTGAACCGATGAATAATGAGATGCATTTGTTCTCAAGTACTTTGTATATTGTGATTAATTATTGAATTTCCAAATTCTTCCAAACAATTAACCGTTGGCGATGGCCTCTTTAGTCCCTTAATGTGTGTACCTTTTAATTCTCAAATTCATTTGTACGGTTCGTTAAGTTATTCATGACAATTTTCTCAATTAGTTTGATTGATTAAATTAATGTCAAATTTATTTGCCATTATGGCGGCAATGGGATTTCACTTAACGCAAAGGATTTTTGTGAAGTACCCCATGCTTTTTATGTGTTTCCATGTGAACCAATGTGCGCTTGCAAATTATGCCATGAAGATCTTGGCATGTAATTAACAATACAACCTTTATAGTTTGTAAGTGCATTTTTTGAAGTCATGTAGATGTGTTGATGTTGTGCAGATTCAATTAATAAGGATTGAACTGAGAGTACCAGAGTATGGTTGGACAACACAAAAGGTTTTCCACCTCATGAACTTCATTGTAAATGGAGGTAAATTCTATATCAATAGTTATTATCTTCTCAGTTCGATGTTTATGAAGCGGTTTAATTATGTATGTGTTCATTCCAGTGCGTGCTGTTGTGTTTGGATTTCACCAACAAGTGTTTCATTTGCATCCCTGGGTAAGTTCGCTGGTTTTGTACAAAATTTTTTGACAAATGTTAACAAACCTAGTGCACAATTTGTGTTTGCTTTTTGATTATATACACTGTTGGTTTAAACTATAGTTAAGATTCATGTTCCTTTCCCTTTACTTCATCCCCAATGTCCTCTCTCTAAATGTATGGACAAGTATGGGTTTCAATTTCACCAAAGTCACCTCATGTGTGAAGTTAGAAAAGAAAATTTGGTTTTGTGAACAAACAAATCCTTCAGAAAAATGTCTACTCTGAGTTTATTGGTGTAGGATTTTCTTATGTTATTTTTTTTGAAATTTCCATTTTTTCTCATGTTTTGGCATCTTCTATCTTGTTTACTGGTTTGTGCATTTATGATGTATTGACAATATAGAAACAGCAAATTCCTGCGTCATGCAAGTTATGGTATGATGGCAATAACAAAAAAGTCCACTGCATGTAAATCCTTGTGGCTAAATTACTCAACGTTCTAAAAGTCTTTTGCTGTTAGCTCCATCTTAGTGGGTATCATTTGTATTATGGTTATGTGATCGAGGTGAATTGTTTAGGTTCCCGTAGACAACCGTAAAAGCTTCAACACAATTGCAGTTACTTCAGTGTATAGGGTAGACTGTTGTGAATTGTTGTGGCCAAAAGCAAACACTAAACTAGATTAATTGGAGAATCCCCTTCCCACCACGCAAAATAATCATTATATGGCATCTGCAATGCTTGAGGCTTGTGTACTGATGTCAACTTAGCTCTATGTGGAACCAGGTGGTAATATTGGTACTGCTAGATCTTCCTGGATTACTGTTTTTCTCAACATACACACTTCTTGTCTTATTTTGGGCAGAGATCTATCACCAGGCAAGTAAAAGCTCGAAAGTCAATGTCTTGCTAGGTGTGGGATACATGCTAGTGAATGCAGTTTTTATCTGTAACTTTAGGGAAAAAGTTCTAACTCATTGGTACTTATTATTAATGGCCAGGCAAGAAGTTTACCAACAGATAAACTCCGAGTTTGGTACATTTCAATTAATGGTGTAATGTACTTCATACAGGTCCGCTTCATCACTTTCTCTTAAACTGCTCCCCCTGATCTGTATTATGCTTTGGTGGTTATTTTGACCTGTGAATCTTTTGTTCACATATACATTTGTTGATGTAGTTTCAGATTTTGACAAGTAAGTTGTGATGGAGTATTTGTAAATGTTAAGGAGTATCCCTTCTGGCTCCTTCTTAACCTAATATTCATGGGAATCCTAGCTCTCATTTCAGATATCTTGCCTACCATCACATCTTTTGGATTTCCATAAATAAGCCATTTTCTAGATTCTAAAGGCAATTTAAAAGGGACAAAGCCTACCTGTTTTCAATTTTTAGTTTTTAAATGTAATTTTTTTTTGTAACATGTTTTGGGTGAAAAAAAAATATAGTTTTATGTTACTTGGTCAAATGCTTTCACATTGAGTGTTGGTTATTTATGTTGATGTTGTTGGATTAAGTTGCTTGCTTTGCATGTTCCTTCTTTAGTTCCTGGTTGTGTAATTCTTCTATCCAGTAGGTTGCTTGATTATATTGCCCAGCTTTTCAAGTAAATGAAAGCCCATTCTGGGTGCTAAAAACTCTAGTTGAGGGGCTACTCCAAGCCTCCTGACAGGAAGGCCTCGACCATCATAAAAATATTCATTTTAACAATCTATTAGCCTTTATTGTTTACATAAAATCTCACTAACAGTAGTTTTGATGTCAGACTTGTATTTGGGTATACCTCTGGAGAGATGACAACAGCGCTGTGGAATTCATTGGCAAGATATTTATTGCAGGTTAGGTCTTGTAACAGTCATCCTGTATTCAACAAGCTTCACAAGTGACAGATTGAAATCAACACATTCTTAATTGTAACATATATTGCTTCTTTTGGTTGAGCATATGTTCTTATTTGAATATTTTTGCAGTGGTATCATTTATAGCAGCACTAGGTTTCCTGCTATATGGAGGAAGGTGAGTCTTCTGAATCATATTTGTCGGTTTCATGACTTAAGCATCTGGAGCAATCCATGTTCTGGTTACTCCCTCATATTCACGTTCATGTGCTTAGTTATTGTTATGCTTTTTAATGTTGATGGTCACTTAAATGCTTCTAGATTGTTTTTCATGCTGAGACGCTTTCCTATTGAATCTAAAGGGAGAAGAAAGAAACTAAATGAGGTCTGTACTTTTTCTACTACATTTTATTAATTGGAATCTTGAGACACGTTTGATATATTTGTGGTGTTGCATCTTCTTGGGTATATTTTTTACATGTGTGTTTTCCATGCTTTTGTATTGGTAGATTTTGTAAGATAGATAAAGTATGTCACTTGGTGTGTTGATGGTTCAAATCTTTTTGAATGAAGTAGATCTGACACATTTATTTGATGAGCCAGACAGGAGTTGAAACCAATAGTACCTAGTACAAGTTGGTATAATGTAGAGAAAGTCATTATTATCTGACTCAATTCAAGTTTTCACAATTTCAGGATTACTCTATACCTGACCTAAGCAATTTGCAATATATAAAAGTACCAGTTATCACTATAATTTATCAAACAAGCAGTGTGCATGTGTTAATGAGCAAGGGAGAGAGAGGGAGGGAGGGAGGGAGGGAGAATCAGTCCTTATTCTGATTATATATTCTATAGAACAGGCTACATGAGATTAAAAACTCGTATTCCTTACCACCAACAATAATACCAAACCGTATGGATGATATGTTGTGTAGAAGTTTTTGTAGACTAATTTTCTTTATCACATGATCTAAGTTCACAATGATTACCAAGCCTCCCACAAAACATTAGTGCCATTTGATCTGGTGATAAAAAATAGTCATATCCGCTAGGTCAGTGGTGCAGTTATTTGAGTGGGGAGTTTGAGTGGCATTTGTTTATGGGTCAAGTTAGTTATTGTAACAATTTTGGTTAACAATGTGAAATTCATTTTGGCTCAATGTTATATTATAGAAATATGATGGCACAGCAGTTTGGGGAGCATGATAATACGCATCTCCAGACATGCATACAGTTAGCATATGAAATATCTGACTCTTCCTGAGCTTTCAAAATGTCTAATCAAACACGTAGCAGATCCACTTCTTCTCAATATTACTGGATAGTTACCTTGCTTCTATCCTATGAAAACTGGGGTTGTATTTATGTGGCATCTATGACTGATTGACTTCTATATATAAGTCAGAAAAAAGTTATTATATGTAGAGTAGTTGTCGGACCTAACAAATGCTAACTGTTGCAGGTTGGATCTGTGACGGCCATATGCTTCACGTGTTTCCTCATAAGATGCTTTGTGGTAACGTTCAGACTTTTTTCAACACCATTCTTTTTCCGGAAAGATTAGTCTCTTTGCTAATGCTTCTGGGAAAATTTGAGGTTTTGTTAGAAGAGTGAGTTCTCTTTGTACCTGTCCTGTGCAAGGAATGCCACCCATATGATCTGCTGATAACAGTATCATGTATTGACTCAAGTGGTTGGTGCTAGGATTCCAGTCGTTAGGCATGATATAGTTATTAAGACTTTTTACTCTTGTTTTAGTTTTTGGCATCGGATGTGATCGGAGATGTAAAGAGGACTAGTTCTGAATATTTTATGGAAGGTTGTCAAGAAAACCATCTAGCATTTGAAGGTTCACAGAGTTGGCAAAACTTAGTTGCGCTCTCAAAAATTGGAACCTGAACTATGATATTAACTTGTTTCTTTGGGTAAGGTTTTGAGTTGGTAATATCTAGTTTGCTCTACTTTGTTTGGAATAGATGGTGCAGCAAAGCTGGAAAAAGTGGCATCTCGGCCTTTTGCTTCCTCGCTGACCCTGCATTAGAGTTTCTCATCAGAGATTGAGCAGTGTTATCCTTATAATTCCATTATTACTGATAAATAGAAGATTTTTATGAACATGTGAATAAAATGTAAGATTAAACCTCTCAAGAAAACCTCATTGTGTCCTATCAAGAGCTGTATCTTTTGTTAAACTACGAGGTTGTCATATTCATTTTTTCCCCATAATGCAGTGATAAGTCTTCTATAAACTTGTCTAAACTATCTAAAATGATTTGTTTTCTTAATTCCTTATAAAAAGAGTTGGAATAAAGAATGAGGATATTTGTGAAACAATATGAGAAATGGGTGGCAGCAGGTTTATGAACTTGTGGAAAAAATGTGAATTCTTCTAGCAGCATGTTATTTTGGATCACCTGTATGTCACGTCATCTGTGTTTATGTGATGACCTGGGCAGTTGAGAAATGAATTCATTGGAAGAGCTAGTGAGACAGAATGAGGAGATTGAAATGGCCAATGGACAAGGCAGCATTGAGGACATTGTGGATGCATTACAAGATACCTAGCTTAGTTAAATTCATGGAAGATGGTTTTGTATTTGTGGAAGAACATCCAATGGAATTACTAGGTGATCAATGTATCAGAGAGAGAGAGAGAGAGAATGGGTAGAAGCCTCGAGTTGTCATCTCTTCTGTAACTTTGGTTTAATATAATATAATCTAGAGAAAAGCTAGAGAACGATGCCTATTTAAAGCATCTTGAAGAGTCAAGTAAAGTTTCTATTTTAAGTAATGATGCCATTAGTTTCTTAGCAATTGCATTGTTGCTTGTGTCAAATGTCGATGAAATTTCTGCATGTACAATTAACTCAAGTCTTTATATGCAGGTGTTTCTATCTGCTTTTGATGCTGATGCATCACTTGATGTACTCTATCATCCAGTTCTAAACTTGATCTATTATATGGTAACAGTTCTTCTACACTTCATTTTGTTGAATCTCGTGTTTTTCTTCAAATATGTTTTCACTTTCTGTTGTTCAAAAACAGGTGGTTGAAATCCTTCCTTCAGCTCTAGTGCTCTACATCCTGCGCAAGTTGCCTCCCAAAAGAATATCAGCCCAATATCACCCCATTCATTAGCCATGGAACATCTTTGTTCACTGCATTATTATTCTTTACACCTCAAAAAATGGTTTTCGATGGTTCCAGAAGTAGAGGCTAGTGGAATTGAGTGAGAGAAGCGGAGCCAGGAAAGCAGTCACATATATTTTTCTGGTATGGCTCATGATGTCTGTGATTCTTTAAGAATATGCACAATACATGGAGTGCTTCGTGACGAGGCAAGGGAGATATGTTGAATTGATTTCTTCATGGTTTTCTGGCTTGAAAGCTAGGTATTTGTAACATTGCTACTTTCCTGGGTCATCTTGTGAAAGGAGTGACCTTGTAAGTTTAATGTTGTGAGGATCTGTGCCAACATCATTGTACATTTAAGCATTGGTCACTGCGTGTGTCTGTATTTTTGTCTCGTACACAAATTTTTTACCCTAGTAAACATGTCACAAGCTTTTGTACTTTCCCTCATATGAATGGTGTGTTTTGATTTTCTTGTTTCCCTACTCAGCAGCTTGTGCTCCATTTAGTTGTTGAAAGTTAGATCCTATAGTAAACGACACATAGGGCTCTTGTGTCAATTAAGTTTTGAATATATATATTTTTTATTCCCTTAAGTCTCTAATTATGTTAATTAAACCCTTATGTCTGTCTCTGTTAGAGTATATTACTCACGTGATTATATGATACAAAAAAATATAAAGATTCAACGGATATAATTAGGAATCGGGTGCTTTCAGAGCAGAGCCGGCTCCCGGGTACTGTTCGTAATCCTTTGTCGCATCCAGAAGGAAACTCCATTTTAGCCATGTGGTTGTTTGCACTGCTTAGAGAGATTTTCTTGTGGATTCAGTAGATTCGATAGTAGACTTTACACTTTGCTTACGAAGTTCCATTCAGATTCCTAAGGACTTGTTGGGTTTACCTTGCTCAAAAGCTCCATTCAGATTACTAGACACTAGTTGAATTTTCGTTTCAGTGGATTTTTAGCTCACCCGCACCTATATAGGGGGGAGCCTGGGTTCGTCTCAACAGCACGAGAACCGGTATAAAATAACAACTTTTGGAAGTATATAACTTTTAAAAGCTTTTAGAATAAATGGTTGTTTAATAGAAGCAACGAATGCAAAATGGCTAGAACTAGCATGCAACTCAGATGGATTCATAACTGAATATATTTTCAATTACTTTCCCCAAAAAAAAAATCATATTTCAATTGGTCCCCAATTTATTCTACTTGTAAAATAAGCAAAGGCCACGTCCCATTAGTCTAGTCTATCTAAAAATGTCATCAATTTTGTTGTTGAACCTCTACGGGAGGAGGTGCAAATCTCACATTTCCAGGGCGTGCCACAACAACAGGCTCATCGGCAAACAATGCTTTGATAAATGACGGAGTTCTTAGGGGTCGACGGCCAGTCATTTGCGGATACACGTCTTCAAGAAAATAGTATGCATGGCCAGCTATCATTCCCTGAACCACAAACGGAATAAGCAGTGAGTAAACCATAAAACTATTTTATGTTCACACAACAAGGATGGAAAGAAACATGCATGCATCTGGCTACTGACCATTGCTCATCTGTAGCCACACATTCGCACAGGGAAAAATCCCAACATTTATGATTCTAAAAACTAGAAGAAAATTAAATAAGGTGAGTAGGTGGGAGCACCCAAAACAAAATAATAGGATTCAAAAAGGATTTGTTCCAAATCAAACAATTTCGGTATAAAAAGAAGGGCCACACATCTCAGGAGGATACGGTCATCATGCCCCCAAACTGGTGAAAGCAGCGAAGTGACAATGGGATCTTTATGGGTTTTTGGAATTGGGAACTTGGCAAGGTGAAGGTGCCTCGATGGCCACTCTTATGGGCTAGGGAATGAAGATCCCCCTATTGGCATCCCTATAATCCACATTATAACAAAGTATTGAGGGAAAATAGTCCAATTTTGATTCCTATGTTTAAGACAGACACAATGACTTTTTTCATATTCCTCCTGTGGAAATTGTAACTGTTTAGAACATGGACCATATGCACAAATGTGAAAATATTCATGTCATACTACAACACTTTAAGCATACCAGTAGATCAACCCAAGCACTAGCGCCAACAATGACAGAGAATCCCAGCAGAACCTGCAGGAGGAGAATGGAGTCAGGTGTTACGCATTGTTGTCATTGTTCAAGGAATGAACAATTCCTAACATTGCATGAAGTTCAATATCCAACGTCACCAAGTGCAAGTCACCTTGTTTAAACATGTTAAGAATAATAGAGTAGTATATGTAAATTGTTAATAGTAAGAGGATGTATGTGTTATTATTATTATTGTAAGTTAACTATAAATACAAGTTATGTATGAGAGCTAAGTTAAACTTTTGACCTCTCTCTGTTCCTCTTTAATATATTGTGTTAATCCTTTACACTTATCATGGTATTAGAGCATGGTTTAATCCTAAATATATTTTGGATAAATTAACTTAATCTGTGGTGGTGGTACTGTTGATTGTAGAAGTTACAGTGATGGTGGTGGTGATAAATTTGTTGTTGTGGTTGTGTGCTGTTGATCGTTGCTAGTGGCGAGTTTACTGTTTGTCGTTGTTGGTGGTGGTGTAGTTGTGGTGGTTTGTCTGGTCATCGTGGTCGCTCGCTGTGGTGGCTGAGGCGCCGTCGTTCGCTGGGGTGGTTGAGGTGCAGTCAATCGTTCGCTGTGGTGGTTGAGACACAGTTGAAGATTCCCTCGCTGTGGTGGCTGAGGCGCAGTCATTCGCTAGTGTTAGCTGTGGTAGTTGAGACACAGTCGAAAATTAGGGCTAAGGAAACCCTAATCATGAAGAAGACAAGGTCTGGATAAAAAAAAAAAAACCGAAGTCCGGTTCAGTTAACCTTAGACCGATTCAAACCAGTTCAGTCAGTGGTGACTCCGGTTCATCGGTCCAGTAACCTTCTGTGACCCGGTTCAGTTAGGTTTTGCACCGGTTCAGACCGGTTCAATCATCTTTCACTCCGGTTCATCGGTCTAGTGCATCTATTTTGCCCGATTCAGCCTTCCAGCAGGTTTTTGGGGTCCAGTTCAGCCTTCCAGTAGGCTTCTTGGGTCCGGTTCAGCCTTCTAGCAGACTTTTGCCGTCCAGTTCAGCCTTCCAGTAGGCTTTCGGGTCCGGTTCAGCCTTCTAGTAGTTTTTTTTGGGGCTGGTTTAGCCTTCTAGAAGCCTCAAGTGGTCCGGTTCAGCAACCCAGAAGCTCCTTTCAGTCCGGTTCAGTCCTCCAGCAGGTCCAATTAACCCGGATTCTTATTGCAACACTTCTTATTTGCTATTTGCTGCATTATTATGGAACAAAAAATCCCATGTTGCCTTCTCCTACTCTTATCAATGGTCCCATGACTTCTGTCAAACTCAATGGGACTAATTATACTTTATAGTCCCGATTTGTTCAAGTCTTTCTTCGAGGCAAAAGATTTAAGAAATATCTGGTGGGTTCTAAACCCAAGTAGGACACTCCTGGGTATAATCAGTGGGAACAAGAGGATGCTCAGATTATTTTTTTATTGTTGAATAGC